GTCTCGACGGTGCCGACGCTGGTGACGCAGACGACGACCGACTTTCGCGTCGCGTCGAGCAGCGCACCCGGCTCAGGCAGCGCGCCAGGCTCAGGCAGCACACCCGGCTCAGGCAGCGCACCCGGCTCAAGCAGCGCAAGGACCACGACGAGCACGGAAGGATCAGCATCCGAGTCAGACGGCGCGCCACCAACGGGGGCGACGCTGTCGGGGTCGGGGTCGCTGGCGTCGGCGACGTCCTCCACAGGGTTGCAGGCATCACCAACCGCGAGCCACACGTCGACCAGAACGGGGCAAGCGTCGGCGGGCGCATCGACGACATCGGCTGGTGCGCCCCTGGACGGACAGACCACGCCCGGCGCGCAAGCGAGCGTGCCCCCGGCGGCGGACGAGTCGTCGTCGCTCTTCCAGGTCAGCATGGCGTCCAAGGTCGTGCCATCGCCGGGGCTGACTGTGGTCGCCACGGTTGTGTCGGCGCTGGTGTCGACCATGACCGTCGTCCAGACCGTGACGGCCAGCTGCTCCGCGAAGGCATGAGTGCGACGCTGGACCTGGTGTCTGTGACGGCAGGCCACTGTCATCGAACTGCCATTGCACCGTCGACAAACTATATAAGTTGTCGAACCGGCGTGGTCGGCTTTCTGTCCTGGCGACTGTAACGTTGTGATTGCATCTGGCGTCTTACGCAGCTATCTCTTGCTTGATCGTATCACTGTCTTTTGCTTCTTGCTGTCTTCTCCTCTTCGCCTTCTTCTGCTGCCCATCTTCCTCGCCCACTTCGCCGTCCTCTCCTGCCCATCTTCCTCTCCTCCTCCTCTTCTTCCTCGCCCTCCTCTTCTTTCCCCTCCGCGCCTTCCCTTCCATGTGGCTCATCTGCCGTCGCTCCGGCCGTCCAACGGCACGCGAGACCCTCGCTGTATCTGTCCGCCTGGCTTCCAACTTCTTCGTCTTGACAAACTTGAGGGAGACGGAGACAACGCTCCGGAGGGCGGAACCTCGCAGTTCTTCCCATCCGGGCCGCACGCCCATCGCGACCCGTTAATGGCCATACTGCAGATGCTGCATCGCCTGGACACACGGGTGAAGAGACTGACCGACGCAAACGTCGATCGTCGAGTACGTGTTGTGGCACAGCGACGCAGGTCAGGTGTAAGAAGCTTATGCGGCAATAGGACATTCTGTCGATGGAGGGACCGATGGTGGCGCCGTCCACGCTGGAGGCACTGGACAGTGGCGTGCTGACGCCTCTATCCATGACCTCGCTGGAGTAATTGGCTGTTGGCGTTGCGCGAGGGTGGGTGTGATGCGCTGTGCGTTAGTGTCAGATAGTTTCAATACGTCTCCGGACCTGTTT